GGGCTGCAGCACCTACCTAAGTTTCAATCTTGAGGAATTCTTTAATGAAGACACCACATGTTAGAATTTAAGGCACAGATATGAGATACACAAGCACCCTTGGGTGGATTAAACAATGACCATGACCATTTCTTTACTCAAATCCCCTTGCCGACAATGCAATTAGGGATTGAGTGAAAAATTACAGCTTGGATAAGTGAACCAGAAACCTGACCTACCACTTTTCCATTAAATTAAGAACAAGAGAACTAGAAAATATTTTGCCTAGAATGATACAAACATACACCAAAAAAAAAAACAAAAAACAAAACCCAAACCCATTGCCGACAAGTAGATTCAGACTCATAGCAACCCTCTAGGACAGAGTAGAACTGCCCCCCATAGGGTTTCCAAGGCTGTAAATCTTTACAAAAGCAGACTGCCACATCTTTCTGCCCTGCAGTGGCTGGTGGGTTCAAACCTCCCACGTTTCAGTTAGCAGCCAAGCGCTTAACCATTGTGCCACCAGGTACGTTGATACAAACATAAGGGTGCAAAAACTCCCATGTACCTTTGCCTCCCTGCGTGGTGCAAACAGTTCATGCGCTTGGCTGCTAACAGAAAGATTAGAACTTTGATTCCACCCAGAAAGGCCTCAGAAGAAAGGACTGGAGATCTACTTCTGAAAAATCAGCCATTGAAACACATGAGGTTGCCACAAGTCAGAATGGCTGGCAACTGATACTGGTTCTCATCCTGGTATCTGCAAAAAGTTACTTCTGTGACCTTTGGCTATACAGTGACCTTAATAATGTAAGCACTGTTTTGAGTGCAAGCATGTGGGAGGCATTTTCACCACTTTTGGTGACTTAAGTAGGTTTACAAAATGTTCTTGCATTTGTTGCATAAACTCTTAAAACAAAGGAAGGGACCTTTGACCCATTCAGAGAAAGTCTATATATTAAAGTTTGTGTTTCAAAAATGTGTAACTACTGCTTGCAGTTATAAAGGTCTGCTTTCCACCCACAGGTTGCCATTATCTCAAAGGTGAAATTTTAGCATATAATTGAAACGTGCTATAGCTACAACATCTTGATTCAGCATCTAACATGAATAATTCACAGTGAGATCATAGGCTCTCCGTAGAAAGTAGTGACATATTCACTTGCTTATGAAAGGAAGCTTAGGGCATATTGAGAGCGATTTGAGTTTTGGCTGTGGCACGTGTAGGTGTCAGACATTTGTCTCTTGGCTTTTACCGGTGCAAGAGGATCTTCCTTTGGGAAAGACTCTCTGGGAAAGGTGAATTGGGGTTGTCCCTCTGGGATTCACACGTGTGGCCACCAGCTCCCCACGTGCACCGGCTCATGGTTTTCCAGAGTTACACTGGGAAGGTGGGAAGCCTTTCTGTTTTCTGTTGAAAAGCCTCCAACTTGGGTCCCTGCCACCATCAAACACAAACGTGTTGATTCTTCTTTTTTGAGCCTCCAACCCTCGCAACCTTCCAAAAATAAATCAAACCAGCCATCAGGGCACCGAAATAATACTACTACTAATAAGCGGCTTTGCTCAGACTTACATAAACAACACTTCTGAGGTAAACTTTGCCCCAGAGGTCTGGACACACTTTTTATGTAACCTGCTTACTAGTAATTACTAGACTTGGGTGCATTAACCCTGGAAATAGAGTTTAATAGCAACCCCTAAAAACAAAAGACATGAAACGATAATAAAAAAATGTGCACCAACTAGAAAAACACTTGGCAGCATTCCACAGCCCAAGTTGAAGACAACCCCCTTCTCGGTCCCTCAACTGCAAGGCCCTTCTCCACAGATGGGCCCCGCCAACCGGAGCCGAAAGCCCGCTCGGGACCCCGCCCTCCCCTCTCCCTGCACCGCCCCCGCCCCTAGTGCCACCTCCCGCGTAGCTCCTCCCCCTTCCCCTCCTCTCAGCCTGGATCCAGGCGTTGGGGTCAGATTGCCGGAGCAGGCTTATTTGCATAGCCCAATGGCTGCTCGTATGCAAATGAAGCGGGAGGTGATTGGCTGGAGGTTTGCAGGATAACTCAGGCGAGTCGGGCTCTTTGTCCTTCAGTGGCTGTGGGGCAGCTGCCGTAGTCGTTCTGCGGCCGGTGGGGCGAGGGTCAGAAAGCTAGAGAGCCTGCGAACGGGGCGCAAGGGGCGGAGGGTGCGGCGGCGGCGAGCGCTTGAGGAGGAGCCCGGGCGGGCGAGGGGCCGCCGGGCAGTGCCGGGGCCGGCGCGCGTGAGGGGCCGGAGTCG